GAGGAGGATTGGCAATAGATGTTAGCTCAGAGCCGGTCTTCCTCAGCAAAAAGAGGAGGATTAGCACTGTTGTTAGCTCAGGGCTGATCTTCCTCAGGAAAAAAAAAAAAAAAGAGGCTGCAGTAATGGTTCAGATATGAGATAAGGATCTGATGTAGGGAACAGAAGACACTAAGAGAGTCTGAAGAAAATTGATAACTTTACATAAAAAATTTAAAAAAGGGAAAAACAGAAGTTCCAAGATTTGATTTGGATGATTTAGGGACATGGATAAAATCAGATTGAAATGTAATGGGAAAAAGGAAAGGGTAGAATGTAAAAAGCACCAATATTCTAAAAATAACAGGAATTTTCTTTACAAGAAAAGTTAAGAGCCATAATATTAGTTGAAATATCAATATTTAACCAAGGTTTTAAACTGGATAAGAGAAATACAGGGCTGCCTTCTATATTTTATGTACGGATCTCCCTTCTTATGATGTGATAAGATCTCATGAAATTAAAGTTTTATATGAATCCTTTAAAAATAATTTTATTAAAAGAAATAAATATGCATTTAAAAGTATATTTGTTTGTTAACTTTCTATTAACAAATTAGAAAACATTTTAGTGTAAGAAAATAAACTATATTACTTAAAAGGCACAAACCATGAAATAATCAGTATTAACCAAAACAAAGGCCTAAATGTTAGTAATACAAAATGAATTCAGGGAAGTAGTTAGATTTATTTTTGCTCAATTTCAAACACTTATTTCACCACATTTTTCAAAACGAGTAAGAAAGTTATTCTGATTAAGAAAGAGCTACAGATAACTGATGGCTAGATAGATTCTTTTTAATCGCTTGATTTTGTTCCATAGACCATATAGGACCAGAGGATAATACATTCTGTTCATGAGGCTATTCTGTGGAACTCTTGCCCAAAAGACAATAAATATATGAAAAATTAGGGAGAGCAGGGCTAAGAACATAATCAACCAAATAACCATTAAAGTTACAAATGAAATAGAGTCGCAAATACCAAAGCATATTATTTTAGACTAGCCTTCCTTAAACATCATAGTATAATACAACAATAAAAATTTCATTTAATTAAAATTATAGAAAAGCAGTTTTTCACCTGGGTAGCTGACAACATTTAAACCAAGAAATTTCATCTTCATTCAGCCAGAAAAATAAGAAAACAGGTATAGTCACAAAATCAGAAATGAACCGAAGTAAGAACACAGAGTAAATATCCATTTTTTTCTGAATATATATGAATTTATTAAAGGTTGTTCACATGGCAGCTGAGTAGCCATATTTGATGACATAAAGACAATCTTCAGAAGAAAATGAATTTAAAAGGGACACCTCACTTTTGGCTTTCATTTGCTTAACTTTTCCAAATCTGTCTTTCTATAGTACTGTCTTACATACTTGAAAGACGGTTTAGCAGCTAAAATATTTTTTTATTTATTTAAAAATGTCAACGTATTGTTACACTCGGGTGATATCACTGGTCAAATTTGCTTTATTTAGTCTACAATATGTATATAGTCTAACCTGATATTAATACAATCTGAGAATAAGTTAATTACTACCTTATTTATTTTCCAGGCACAGATTTACAGAAGAAGAAACATTAAAAATAGAAAATTGCATGTGGTACTGTCCAGACACAATTTAGGATTCTATTGTGAAATTATTTTGCCATTCTAGATAAGAAATCTCTCCTAGGAAGACAAAATTGGAAATCATCCATAATTTTTCTAGATCAAAAATATGAGATATCACAGTATTAATATTAGGGTAAAGTAACTGAATGAATAGTTTAGGAAAATTTTCCTTATTAATGGGACTTAACTAGCATGCCACCAAAATAAACCAGCTCTGCAGCATAGATGAAACAACATAATCATAAAAGCAGCAGAAAGTCATAACGTCATAGTATGCTATTCTCAGAAGCTTGTCTTTCTTTCCTTTTTTTTTTTTTCTTGGTGAGAAAGATTTGCCCTGAGCTAACACCTGTTGCCAATCTTCCTCTTTTTTTTTTTTCTTGAAGAATATTTGCCCTGAGCTAACATCTGTGCCATTCTTCCTCTATGTTGTATGTGGGTCGCTGCCACAGCATGGCCAACGAGTGGCACAGGTCCATGCCCAGGATCCGAACCTGTGAATCCAGGCCGCCAAAGCGGAGCAGGCTGAACTCCACCACCAGGCCACAGGGCCTGCCCTGTCTCTTTCTTTTCTTAATGGCTACTCAAACAAAGGAAGCTGTATAAAAATTGGTTGGTGGTGAAATGATTTTTGACAAGAGTGACAAGACAATTCAACAGAGAAAGGACAGTCTTTTCAACAAATGGTGCTGGAAAAATTGGATATTCACATGCAAAAGAATGAAGTCAGACCCTTACTTTATACCATATATAAGAATTAACTCAGATCAAAGGCCTAAATGTAAGAGCTACAACAATATAACACTTAGAAGAAAATAGGAAGAAAGCTTCATGATACTGGAGTCGGCAATTTCTTGGATATAACACCAAAAGCAAGTAACAAAAGAAAAAAATAGATAAACTGAACTACATCAAAATTAAAAACTTTTGTGCATCACAGGACACAATCAACAGAGTAAAAAGGCAACCTACGGAACAGGAGAAAATAGTGGCAAATTATATATCTGGTAAGGAGTTAATATCCAGAATACATAAAGAACACTTACAACTCAACAACAAAAAAAAACCTGATTAAAAAATGGGCAAAGGACTTGAACAGACATTTTTCCAAAGAAGATATACAAATGGCCAAAAAGTTTATGAAAAATGCTCAACATCACTAACCATTAGAGAAATGCAAATCAAAACCAGAATGAGATACCACTTCACACCTATGAGAATAGCTATCATCAAAAGAACAGAAAGTAAGTGTGGTGAGAACGTGAAGAAATTGGAATATTTGTGCACTGCTGGTAGGAATATAAAACAGTGCAGCTGCTATGGAAAACAGTATGGCAGTTCCTCAAAAACATTAAAAATAGAACTACCATATGATCTAAAAATTCCACTTATGGAAATATATCCAAAGGAATTAAAAGCAGGGTCTCTAAGAGATATTTGTACACTAATGTTCATTGCAGCCTTATTCACAAGAGAGAAAAAGTAGAAGCAACTCCAGTATCCATCAACAGATGAATGGATAAACAAAATCTGGTATATACAATGGAATATTATTCAGCCTTAAAAAGGAAGGAAAGGAGCCAGCCGGTGGCACAGCGGTTAAGTGTGCGCGCTCCGCTGCGGCGGCCCGGGATTCACAGGTTCAGATCCTGGGCGTGCAGCGACGCACCGCTTGCTAAGCCATGCTGTGGTAGCGTCCCATATAAAGTGGAGGAGGATGGGCATGGATGTTAGCCCAGGGCCAATCTTCCTCAGGAAAAAAGGGGAAGATTGGCATTGGATGTTAGTTGGGGGCTAGTCCTCCTCACAAAAAAAAAAAAAAAAAAAAGGAAGGAAATTTGACACATACTACAACATGGCTGAACCTTGAAGATGTTACGCTAAGAAAAATAAGCCAGTTACAAAAAGTAAATACTGTATAATTCCGCTTACATGAGGTACCTGGAATAGGCAGATTCATAGAGACAGAAAGTTGAAAGGTAGCTGACAGGGGCCAGGAGGAGGGAAAAATGGGAAATTATTGTTTAACGGGTATGAAGTTTCAGTTTAGGAAGATGAAACTGTTCTGGAGATAGACGGTGGTGATGGTCGCACAACAATGTGAATGTACTTAATTAATGCCACTGATCTGTCAACTTAAAAATGGTAAATTTTATTAAGTATATTTTACTACAAGTAAAAAAAAACAGTTGCTTGCTCTCATACCCTATAAGAAATATTGTTCAATTTGTTGCTGACAAACTTAACTAATCCTACTAGACATCTTAGAAATGTGAGCCATGAGGATCTGTGGGGTTATTTCCTCTGATACTAGCAAATCTGATTTAGAACTCCTTAATCTGACACCTTGGGGATACCAAGAGCATATCTTTATCCAAAAGCACTAATATCTTTTCTTTTCTTTCTTTAGTTTCTACTCCTCCGTCTGAAGGCACATAAAAACAAGTTATTTAATAACAAAACATTTCAATTACAGTTTAAACCAAGGTAATAGACAAGAAAGCACTACAAAATGTTCAGGTACACCACAAAAATTTAACATAACAGTATTAATAAACAAATAACTGGAACACAGCTCTCAGACTAAGTATCAACATCCAGCCACCCTCCTATGAGGAGCTACAAAAACTATTGCAGCTCAATTTTTATGCAGTTACCTACTTCCTTTACATTTCACTACCCACTATTGAAGTCTGAAATTGTTCAAGAATTGAAAAAAAAACTTCTCTAAAGAAATTCTACTGTCTTATATTCCAGCCACTTATGTCTACATGAATCATGCTGTAAAACTCAGTCCAAACTTTGTGAAATCCTTAAAATGATCTAACATACTAAGATAAAAGAAAATTCAAAAGGGCCAATTCAAAGAATCTTTATAAAATAGATTCTACTTTCCATAAACCTTGGGATTAAAAATTAGTGATAAAAAGACAATTTTGTTACCTCTCTGCAACTGCTATGCGAGACAGAATGTCAATTTTCCCATATATGAAGATTTTTCTGATTAAGAGATACGTTACACAGCAAGACATTTATCACTTAACACACGTAGAAGTAAGATAATATAATCATACCTGAGCAAAAAGGTAAGACATGACAAAGTCATCAAGAAGAGGAGCTTCAGCACCTCGAGATATCCCATGCCGATAGGTTCTGTTGCTGCCATTACAATACCAGTAAGGAAAGTAAAATCTACAAGACAGTTAAAACATTCAGTCAGCCTCCAAACAGATCAAACATAAACATACTGTGTATAAACAACCACTTCCAGCATAGTGAAAGGTATTATCCCATTACCAGAAAACACAGCTAACAGTGTTGAAATACAAGTTGGAGACAAAAGGAAATCTGGATAAGACCATTACAATAATATATGCAAAAAATACAAGAAACATAAGTGTAAAATCAATATACTGCCTTCTTCCATGCACAGAATGTAGAGGCAATAACAGGAAATAGAGAAATATAGAAATAAAACATTAACAAAAAAATTTTTTTTAACGTTAATCCAGTTTTATCAGTAGAGGAATCTAAAAATGCTAATTTGGTATGAAAAGAAATAATTGCTTCTTCTTTTTAAGAAATGGATATTAGGGGCCAGCCCGGTGGCATAGTGGTTAAGTGCACGCCTCTACTGCGGCGGCCTGGGGTTCAGATCCCAGGTACGCACCGATGCACCACTTGTCAAGCCGTGCTGTGGCGGCATCCCATATAAAGTGGAGGAAGATGGGCATGGATGTCAGCCCAGGGCCAGTTTTCCTCAGCAAAAAGAGGAGGATTGGTGACAGATGTTAACTCAGGGCTGATCTTCCTCACAAAATAAAAGAAAAACCAGAAAAGAAATGGATGTTAAAAACTTGTTTTCACAGAGGGCCCGGCCCAGTGGTGTACTAGTTGAGGTCGTGTGTTCCACTTTGGTGGCCTGGGGTTCACAGGTTCGGATCCCAGGTGTGGACCAATGCACTGCTTGTCAAGCCAGGCTGTGGCAGGCGTCCCACATATAAAGCAGAGGAAGACAGGCAAGGATGTTAGCCCAGGGCCAATCTTCCTTCCCTAGTAGTTACACCCAAATAACCCCTATCCATTCCCCAGTCCTAAGCTACCACTCATCTTTCTCTGTCTATAAATTAGCCTCTTCTGGACATTTTATATAAATGGAATCATATATTATGTGGCCTTTTCTACCTTCTTTCATCTAGTATAATGTTTTCAAGGATCATCCATGTTATAGCATGTATCAGTACTTCATTCCTTTTAATTGCCCAATTAATATTCCATTGTATGCATATTAGATATACTATCTTTTGCTTATCCATTCATCACTTGATGGACATTTGAGTTGTTTCTATCTTTTTGCTACTGTGAATAATGCTGCTATGAACAGTCATGTACAAGTTTTTTGTGTACGTGGATGTATCTTTTCATTTCTCTTCCATATACCTAGGGGTGGAATTGCTGCATCATATAGTAATTCTATGTTTATCTTTTTGAGGAACAAATTGTTTTCCAAAGCAGTTGCACTATTTTATGTTTTACATTACAACGGCAACATATGAGCATCCCAGTAGTTCACAGTTCAGGTGGAGAGTTTAGCTAAATTACTCCACGGTATTGTTGCCTTGGCATTCATTTTGTTTGGCTAAAAGGCCTGCAGTGAACTTAAATGGAAACTAGCCCCCTCATGCAAGTGTATGGTGTAGATAGCAGCCTGCAGAGTCACAAGCAAATGTAAGTTCCTGATATGACTTCACTAATAGTCCTTGTGATCAACAGTCTCCCCAGCCTCCTAGTGCCTAACTCTTATGTGCCCCTTCAATAAGACTCCCAAGTGGCTTACCAAAACCCAGCTATTTTGATTTGAACTGACCCATCTGGTCTTTGCCCAGGAACCCCAAAGCACTCTACCCATAGACCCTAATAAAGGCATGTGCTCCAGGTCCTGTCTACACTCTGCCTTGAATTCCCTGTGTGGCCCCTTGAGGTATGCTGGGTACTTCCTCCTCCAGGACTTGTGAGTACTAAACTTTTCTACTTCAATTCCTCTTGTGGTCTGTTATTGAACTGCAGCTAACCATCCGACAGCCTGTGCTACATATATTTAATAAGTGTTAATTTGACAAATTCATAACAACTTGTCTATCTTTTTTTACTTTTGCCCTTCTAGTAGGTGAACTGGTACTGTGGTTTTGATTTATGTTTCTCTAATGAATAATGATGTTAGGCATCTTTTCACATGCTTATTGGCCATTTGTATGTCTTGTTTAGAGAAATGTCTGTTCAAATCCTTTGCCCATATATTCATCAGGTTGTCATTTACTGTTGAGCTGTAAGAGTTCTTTATGTATTCTGAATATAAGACCTTTATCGTATATATGATTTACAAACATTTTCTTCCATTCTGTGGCTTGTCTTTTCACATTCTTGACAGTATCATTTGATGCACAAACATATATTTTGATGAATCCCAATTAATCCATTTTTCTTTTGTCACTTGAGCTTTTGGTGCCATATTGAAGAAACCATTGCCTAATCTAAGTACACGAAGGTTTACTCCTATGTTTTCTTCTAAGAGTTTTATAGTTTTAGCTCTTAGATTTAGGTCTATGATCCATTTTAAGTTACTTTTTTGTATATGGTGTGAGTTAGTGGTCTAACTTCATTACTTTACATGTGGATATCCACTTGTCCCAGCACCAATTGCTGAAAAGTCTATCCTTTCTCCATGAATTCTCTTGGTACCATTGTCAAAAATCAATCACCATAGCACCCCTATGTTCACTGCAGCATTATTCACAATAGCCAAGACGTGGAAGCAACCCAAGTGCCCATCAACTGATGAATGGATAAAGAACATGTGGTGTATGTGGTACACACCATATACACCATATGTATGTGTGTGTATATATATATATATACACACCATATACACCGTATGTGTGTGTGTATATATATATACACACACACACACACACACACACACACACAATGGAATACTACTCAGCCATAAAAAAAGACAAAATCATCCCATTTGCAACAACATGGATGGACCTTGAGGGTATTATGTTAAGTGAAATAAGCCAAGAGAAAGGCAAACACCGTATGATTTTATTCATATGTGGAAGACAAACAAACACATGGACAAAGAGAACAGGTTAGCGGTTACCAGAGGGGAAGAGGGTTGGGAGGTGGGCATAAGGGGTAAAGGGGCACATATATATGGTGATGGACAAATAATAATGTACAACTGAAATTGCACAATGTTATGAACTATTATGACCTCAAGAAAAAAAAATCAGGGGCTGGCCCAGTGGTGTAGCGGTTAAGTTCGCGCAGCCTACTTCGGTGGCCCAAGGTTCACAGGTTTGGATCCCGGGCATGGACTGATGCACCGCTTGTCAAGCTATGCCGTGGCTGCGTCCCATATAAAGCAAAGGAAGATGGGCACGGGTGTTAGCCCAGGGCCAATCTTCCTCAGCAAAAAGAAGAGGATTGGCAATGGATGTTAGCTCAGGCAGGGCTAGTCCTCCTCACACACACACAAAAAAATCAATCACCATAATATGAGGGATTATTTTTAGACTCTCAATTCTATTTCATTAATCTCTATATCCATCCTTAAACCAGTACCACACTATCTTGATTACTATAGTTGTGGAGTAAGTTTTGAAATTCAGAAGTATGAATGGTCCAACTTTGTTCTTTTTCAAGATTGTTTTGGCTATTCCAAGTCCTTTTGATTTTTATATGAATTTTATGATTAACTTGCCAATTTCTGCAATAAAGACAGCCAGGATTTCAGTAGAGATTGCACTGAATATACAGATCAATTTTGGGAATATTGCCATCTTAAGAATATTAAGTCTCCTGATCCATAAACATATCTTTCCATTTATTTAGGTCTTTCTCTAACTCATTTCAATGATGTTTTATATTTCTCAATGTATAAGTTTTGCACTTCCTTTGTTAAGTTTATTTCTAAGTATTGCCTTGTTATGCTAGTGTAAATGCAATTGTTTTCTTAATTTCACATTTGGATTGTTTAGTGCTACTGTATAAAAATACAAATGATTTTTGTATATTGATCTTCTATCCTGTAACCAGGCTGAGTTCATTTATTAGTTCTAATAGTTTATTAATTCCTTAGGATTTTTTATATACAAGATCATATCATCTGTGAATAGTTTTACTTCTTCTTTTCCAGTATGGATGACTTTTATTTCTTTTTTTGCTTAATTTCCCTGGTTAGAATCTATGGTACATAGAAGTGGTGAGAGCAGATATCTTTGTCTTTTTTCTGATCTTTGGGAGAAAGTATTCAGTATTTCACCATCAACTATAATGCTAGCTTTGGGTTTTTCATAAATGACCTTTATGAAGCTGAGGAAGCACCCTTCCATTCCTATTGTGTTGAGTATTTTTATCATGATAGGGTGTTAGATTCTGTCAAATGCTTTTTGTGTCTAATGAGATGATCATGTGGTTTTGGTCCTTTATTCTACTAATACAGTGCATGATATTGATTGATTTGGGGATTTATTTCCTGTATTTCCTGGGATAAATCCCACCTCGTCATGGTTTTTAATCCTTTTGATATATTGCTGGATTTGGTTTGCTAATATTTTGTTGAAGATTTTTACACATATATTCATAAGGGATATTGGTCTCTAGTTTTCTTTTCTTCTGGATGTCTTTGTCTGGATTTGGTATCAGAGTAATACTAAACTCACAGAATGAGTTGGGAAGTGTTCCCTCCTTTTCACTTTTTGTGAATAACTGGCATTATTCTTCTTTAAATGTTCGACAGGATTAACCAGTGAAGCCATTTGGGCCTGGGCTTTTCTTTGTGGGAAGATTTTTTAAATTACTAATTCAGTTTCTTTACTCATTATAGGTCTACTCAGACATTCTGTTTCTTCTTTTGTCAATTCCTATAGTTTGTGTCTTTCTAGCCATTTGTCCATTTCATCTTGGTTATGTAATTTGTTGGCATACAGTTGCTCCTCATAATCTTTTTTATGTCTGTAAGGTCATAGTGATGTTCCATCTTATATTCGTGATTTTAATAATTTAAGGTTTTCTCTCTTTATCTTGGTCCTAGCTGAAGGTTTATCGAAATTGTTCATCTTTTCAAAGAACCAACTTTTGGTTTCTTGATTTTCTCTATTGTTTTCCTATTTTCTACTTCATTTACTTCTCCTCTGATCTTTATTATTTCCTTCCTTCGACTTGCTTTAAGGTTAATTTACTCTTCTTTTTCTACTTTCTTAAGGTGGAATGGTATTGATTTGAGAACTTTTCTTTTTAAATAGAGGTCTTTACAGCTATGAATTCCACTCTAAGCATTGTTTTAGCTGCATATCATAAGTTTCGACATGTTGTGTTTTCATTTTCAGCCATTTCAAAGTATTTTCTATTTACCCTTGTGATTTCTTCTTTGACCCATTGGTTATTTAGAAGTGTGCTGTTAATTACCACACATTTGTGAATTTTCCAGTTTTCTTTCTACTAATGATTTCTAATTTAATTCCATTGTGATCAGAGAACATACTTTGTATGATTTCAATCTTTTTAAATTTATTGAGACTTGTTTCATGGACTAACATATGGAGAATGTTCTATCCTGGAGAAAGTTCCATGTGCACCTAGAGGAATATGTATTGTGCTATTGTTGGGTGGAGTGTTCTATACGTAGCTGGTTTATAGTATTTTTCAAGTCTTCTATTTGCTTGTTGATCTTCTGTCTAGTTGTCCTCTTCATTATTGAAAGTGAAGTATTAAAGTCTCCAACTATTATTGTTGAATTGTCTATTTTCTCCTTCAAGTCTGTCAGTTCCCTTACATATTTTGGAGCTCTGTAGTTAGATCCAATTTATAACAACTATAAACAAATGTTATGTTTTCCTAATGCACTGACAATTTTATCATTATAAAATGTCCCTTTTTTGCTACTAGTGACAATTTATATCTTACAGTCAATTTTGTCTGATATTAATATAGCTGCTCCAGCTCTCTTTTGGTTACTGAATGCCTGGTACATCTTTTTCAATCCTTTACTTTCAATTTATTTGTGTCTTTGCATATAAAGTGTGCCTCTTATAGACAGCACGTAGTTCATGCTTTTTAAATCTATTCCTCCAATCTCTGCCTTTTGATTTGAGTGTTTAATCCATTTACATTTAATGCAATTACTGTTAGGGTAGTATTTATGTCTGCCATTTTGCTATTTGTTTTCTATATGGCTAATGTCTTTTTTGTTCATCTGTTCCTCAATTACTGCTTTCTTTAGTGTTAATAGGTTTTCTAGTGTATTCTATTAAGTCTCTTGTTGTTCCTTTTACTACATATTTTTAGTTATTTTCTTAAGAGTTTCCCAGGGGATTACAATTAACATTTTAACTTAAACAACCTAGTTCTTATTAATATCAACTTAATTTCAAGAGTATACAAAAACTTTGTTCTGTTCCTTTTGTTCTACTATTGTCATACAAATTACATCATAAGCCCTTCAACACAGTTTTATAATTATTGCTCTTTTATGTTTTTTTGATATAACTCCTACATATGTAATAAAGGAAATGAAGAATAGCCTCTAAACAATAGGCTGGTGGGATTTCTAAAAATTATATAAAATTTCCTTTTGGGTAGTTTCTGGTTAGACTTTCCTTGGAAATTCTGATTATAGGTAGCTATGGATATTTGCCCCCTTAGTTTAAGAATAGCAGGAATTCATGAATTTGATAAGAGAAACATTTTTAATTCTTGAGAAGAGTTCAGCAAACTATGACTCACAGGCCCAATCTGGTCCACTGCCAGCTTTTATAAATAAAGTTTTACTGGAACACAGTCATGCCCATTCATTTACTTATTGTCTGTGGCTGCTTTCACACTATAATAACAGAGTTGAATAGTGACAACAGAAATAGTATGACCTGCAAAGCCTAAAATACTGACTATCTGGCCTTTTACAGAAAAAGACTGCAAACCCTTGCTGTATAGACATTTTAAAATAAAAAGATTCACTTGCTAATTGAAGAAAGTATAGTAATGACAAAAAGTGATAAATAAAATATTCTTAATAAGATACGGATATTTTGTCAATCATATGCAGCATATTAGTATGCTTCTTTAAATAATATAACTTTGTAAAGTCTTAAAATCTGCAAAAAAGCCTTACATAACTTTGGATAGATTTAACCCTAGGTACCTTACTTTTTTTTGCTATTGACTGTTATTTTATTTTATTTTTTTAAATTTTATTTATTTATTTTTTTCCCCCAAAGCCCCAGTAGATAGTTGTATGTCACAGCTGCACATCCTTCTAGTTGCTGTATGTGGGACACAGCCTCAGCATGGCCGGAGAAGCAGTGCGTTGGTGCGCGCCCGGGATCTGAACCCGGGCTGCCAGCAGCGGAGCGCGCGCACTTAATCGCTAAGCCACGGGGCCGGCCCTTGACTGTTATTTTAAATGACCTCTTTTCTATTTGTTTGTGGTGTATAGAAATAGTTGATTTTTTAACCTACTGATCATATAGATCTAGCACTCTGTTGAATGCTTCTTTTTGACGTCTGTAGATTTGTTCGTATTTTCTACGTTAACAATCACATCTCCAAATAGTGACTTTTTGCTTCTTTGTTCTCGATTATTAGACATTTTATTTATCTATCTTGTCTTACTGTACTGGTAGGAACACCATTAAAATCCTAAATAGAAGCAGTGGCTGTGGCTATCTTTGTTTTCTATCTTGTTCTGATTTTAAAGACATTGTTTCTAACATTTTACCATTTAAAAATATTATTTGCTACATGTTTTTTGTAGCTACTCTGTATCATAGCTACGACATCTCTCTTGAATCTGAGTCTATTAAGCCTTCTTTTTCTTTTCTTTTTAAAATCATGAACGATTCCATGTTCTTTTTTGCTATGCAACACTGACTTTCTGCATGGAATGGATCGATTTCATAAGTAGGAGCCACAGATCAAACTTATTTGTCTCATCCTTTTGAGTAGAAAAGTACCTCTAGATTTCTCTGAATTGGTATTATATATTACCATTAAGTAACATTAATTAACATAATTTGAGGCTGTAAATAAACACTGGCAAAATCTTATTTTTCCTTCATTTCAACTTAAAAAAAAGTTATTAAAAAGAAGAGATGTAGGGGGCCGGCTCTGTGGCATAGTGGTTAAGTGTGCACACTCCCCTTCAGCAGCCTGGGGTTCACAGGTTCAGATCCCGGGTGTGGGACCTACACACTGCTTATCAAGCCATGCTGTGACAGGCGTCCCACATATAAAGTAGAGGAAGATGGGCACGGATATTAGCCCAGGGCCAATCTTCCTCAGCAAAAAGAGGAGGATTGCCAACAGATGTTAGCTCAGGGCTAATCTGCCTCATCAAATACAAAAATAAAAAAATATAAAAAAAGAGATGTAAGATTAATTTTTATTGCAGAAGACATCAAATTTCCTGGGAAACTAGCAAAATTCCAAACATTTAGGATTTTGCTAGTAAAAGCCATTCTCATCCTCTTTGAAATTTAATTATAAGTGATACAGTAGCATCCCACCAGAACAGCTTTATTTTCAGAGCATTCTAGTTAAAGAACACATATGAACATTTCCTCTAGTGGAGAAACAGTCTTAAGTTTAATGCTAACTGGTTCTGGTCTCTGACATCAAGTACCTTGCAATTAAAAAATATGTTTGATAATTTCTCCCACTTTGCTCTTTCACTATTAACTGAGTCACTTCACTGGAGAAAGTACCTTATTCTGTAGAGTACATTGTGCCCGGTTGAATCATCTACATGGAAGACATGGTTGGGCGGATACCAGATTCTTTCTGTTTCACTCATTAAAGCAAACATACTATGATACACAGGTGTGATTCCTAGGAAAGAAGCAGAAAAGAAATGATTACAGACAGTTAAAAGTATTTTTACATACCATCTATAATTTGTAATGGGGCTGAAGTGACAAATCTTAAAATCAGCACGAAATGCAGTAGCAGTCGAAATCTTTTGGTTGAACACAACTTACAAGCGAATTCTTAAATTAAATATCTTTTTTTCTCTATATTTTAAAATATGATTGCTAGGACTCTTTCAAGCAGATTTTAAAAAACATTTATCCAGTTTTTTTAATTGTTCTCTACAAAAAGCTTGACCCAAATTTGTGTGTGCTTTAATTGATAATGACAGTATCAACTAAAATATTTAGAAATCACTGGATACTCTTAAGAGAACAATGAAACAGTTTTATTTTTAAATGACAAGGTTTACACAATACACTAGTAATTATATCCTCTGCACTATTTAAATTTACAATGAAAAATTTTAAATGTCAACTTAAAATGCAACGGTATCTGATTTTTTTCAAAAATATTTTAGGAGTTACATTAACAAAAGGCTGAAAGCCGCTAAACTTTTTAAAAAGCATACAGAACTCCTAAGCCACACAATTAAATAATGCATATTACCTCTAAGCATATATAGAACATTCACACAAACACATACACACACACACAAACACACACCAATCACTTGGATACTAAAACCAAGTCTTCAACAATGCCATAGAATAATCATACATACCACGTGCTCTAACCAAACTTCAATTAAATCAGAAATGAATACTTACAAAAATTTTTTTAATCCTACATATTTGAAAACATAAGCCTCACAAAAGAACCCTTGTTATTCTAGTGATGTTTTTATTCGTTTCCATTGTAGACAAATGACACCAACTTGACACATTGACAACAAAGATTTAAAATTTGTGTGTGTGTGTGTGTGTGAGGAAGATTAGCCCTGAGCTAACATCCGATGCCAATCCTCCTCTCTTTTGCTGAGGGAGATTAGCCCTGGGCTAACATCTGTGTCCATCTTTCTCTACTTTATATGGGATGCTGCCACAGCATGGCTTGACAAGCTGTGCATCGGTTTGCGCCCGGGATCCAAACCAGTGAACCCTGGGCCGCCAAAGTGGAGCATGTGAACTTAACCACTACACCACCAGGCCGGCCCCTAAAATTTTTATTTAAATTATTAACACAACTGTCTCCTCATAGATAATGTAATAATTTCAGCAAGTTACATATTAAGTTGTTACATTATTCAGTAACTACTTTTAAACTGTATCCTTGCATTCATTCTCGTATTTACAAATACTTCTAAATATCTCACAGATCATAGGAGAAATTATAACACAAATTAAAAAGCATTTATAACGAATGACGATAAATACCATATATTAAAAATTATGGAATATAACTAAGTGATACGCAAGAGGAAAATTTTAGCTCCAACTTGTTTATCTTAGAAAATAACAGAGAATGATCTAAGTTATCTAACTCAATACAATAGAAAACAACAGAGTAATCCCAAAGACAGTTGTAAGAAGAACATAATAGAGTAGAAGTTAACAGGGAATGAAGATTCAATAAAGGGAATCAACAAAATAAAAGTGGATTATTTGCAATGACTAACAAAATAAACAAGCCTTTGTCAAGCCTGATCAAGAAAAAAAAGAAGGCACAGAAAAACACTAAGAATTTTTTTAAAGCATAATTATAGGTTACGAAGACAAAAAGAGAGTGCTAGAATAAATTATGCCAATAAATTTGAAAATGTAGACAAATTTTTTAAACTATGTAACTTTAAAAATCGATTCAAGAATAAAAAAATGTCAAAAGAACTATTAAAGAAACAATCTCTCCACTTAAAAGAAATGGAGAAGAAAGGAGGAGGAAGAAGGAAAGAGAAAAAAGGAAGAATGAAAAAGAAGAAAGGAAAAACCACCATCAGACTCAGATGAAATTTATATGTGAGTTAACCAAACATGAAAGACAATACTAATTTTTTTTTTTTGAGGAAGATCAGCCCTGAGCTAACATCCATGCTAATCCTCCTCTTTTTGCTGAGGAAGACCGGCTCTAAGCTAACATCTATTGCCAATCTTCCTCCTTTTTTTTTCCCCAAAGCCCCAGTAGATAGTTGTATGTTATAGCTGCACATCCTTCTAGTTGCTGTATGTGGGACGTGGTCTCAGCATGGCCAGAGAAGCAGTGCATTGGAGCGTGCCCGGGATCCGAACCTGGGCCGCCAATAGTGGAGCGCGTGCACTTAACCGCTAAGCCACGGGGCCGGTCCTCTAATCTTAAATATACTATTACAGAATAGAAAAAGAGATGACAGAGAAATTGACACATTATGTGAATTTAGTTTGACCATGATATCAAAACCAGAAAAAGACATCATAAAAGGATACTCTCACTTATTAAAATAGATAAAAAAATCCTAAACTAAATACTGGCAAACTAAATCAAGCAATGTTTCTTTTCAAAAAAATTATGACAAAGTTCACTTATCCTACGATTGCAGAGATGGCTAAATTATAAAAATCTCTTAATGTAATTCATCACAATAACATATTAGAGAAAAATCTGAAAATGGTAAAATGAGAACTTTGAAAAGTTGGGTGATGAGCACACTGAAAATGCACTTTATTTTTTCTATATGAAGTATTCCTTAAATTTTTTTTTCTCCCCAAAGCCCCAATACATGGTTGTATATCCTAGATGTTAAGTCCTTCTACTTCTTCTATGTGAGCCACCACCACTGCATGGCAACTGACAGACTGGTGGTGTGGTTCCACAATCAGGAAACAAACCCGGGCCACCAAACTGGTGAGAGCACCGAACTTTAACCCCTAGACCATCAGGGCTGGCTCTGAAATATTTTATAATAAAAAATCAGGATTAAGAAAGCAGAATAAGGGGCTGGCCCGGTTGTGTATTGGTTAAGTTCACGTGCTCCGCTTTGGCGGCCCAGGTTTCGCAGGTTCAGGTCCCAGGCGCGGACCTATGCACTGCTTATTGAGCCATGCTGTGGCAGGCGTCCCACATATAAAGTAGAGGAAGATAGGCATGGATGTTAGCCCAGGACCAATATTCCTCAGCAAAAAGAGGAAGACTGGCAACAGATGTTAGCTCAGAGCTAATCTTCCTCACCAAAAAAAAGAAAAAGAAAAAAAAAAAACAAAAGAAAAATAAAATGCCAAGAAATGGAAATATGTTATTCACAGTAGAGCAAACCCACATGACTAATAAGCATCTGAAAGGATGGTAATACCTAGTATTGAAGGAAATGCAAATTAAAATTATGTGATATCACTTTATACCCATTCAACTAGCAAAAATAAGAGGAAAAACATCTAGTGCTAACTGAATTGTAGTGAAAGGGTACTATGTTACATAATTGCTAGAAATTTAAACTGGTACAGCTTCTGAGAAAGCAATACGTATATAATTTTGAGAAATGCATGTCAATAAAAATTTAAAATAACCTTTCAACCCAGCAATCTCTCCTATGTACTCCTAAAAGTGCAGTACAGTAGTAAGAAAAGAGCGAGAAAGAAAATATAAATTCAAAAGCAGAAGATATGAAAAAATTGTGGTAGTATAATCCATGCTGTGGACTATTAGGAAATTCAATTAAAAAAATGAGCTAGGGGGCCAGCCCCGTGGCTTAGCGGTTAAGTGCGCGCACTCCGCTACTGGCGGCCCGGGTTCGGATCCCGGGCACGCACCGACGCACCACTTCTCCGGCCATGCTGAGGCCGCGTCCCACATACAGCAACTAGAAGGATGTGCAGCTATAACATACAACTATCTACTGGGGCTTTGGAGGGGGGAAAAAACCCTTAAAAAAAAAAAAATGAGCTAGGGCAGAAGTAGCTGGCTTGAACAGATTTTTCATAATGTATATTTTTGTGAAAAAAGCAAGAAGCATACAAGACTATATAATAAGATTCCATTTTATAAAACAATGACCTCAAAATCCTAATGACTGTGTGCATGGATGGGAGGGGTATTGTTTGTCCATATATGATCCTAGGCGAGCTTGAAGGTCTAGTGGTCAAGATTCAGCGCTCTCACTGGGTTCATTTCCCCGTCAAGGAACCACACCACCCAGTCTGTCAGTTATAGTGTGGTAGCTGCGTGTTGCTGTGATGCTGAAAGCTCTGCCAGCTCTGCAGAGCTTTCAAACACCAGCAGGGTCACTCACGGTGGACAGGTTTCAGGGGAGCTTCTAGACTAGACATGCTAGGAAGAAGGACCTGGCCACCCACTTTCAAAAAAATTGACCATGAAAACCCTATGAATAGCAGCAGAGCATTGTCTGCTATAGCACCAGAAGACGTGAGGAGGGCACAAAAAAGACCGGGCAAGATTTTACTCTGCTACACACCGTGTTGCTAGGAGTCAGAATCACTTGACAGCACTAACATGATTATATGATCATGAAGAAAACTATGGAAGGGTTCACAAGAGATCACTGTCTTAGTTACCAGGATGGGCCTAAGGGAAAAAGAAGGTAAGAGTATAGTGGAGAAGAAACTTCTTTTTTTAAAAGAATGCATTAAATAAAAACAGTAAGCCCTCATTTCAAAAAGAAAGAAAAGTGAAAGGAAAAAAAGAAAAAAGAAAGATACTAATCAATACCAAGATAAGGGTTCACCATGTAAATCATCTTCAAACTATAGAGAATGATGGCTTGTCATTCTCTAAACTTTAAAATAACGATAAGATGACAGAAAATAATGCCATCCAAATAATTTGAGAAATCATTATTTTATTTGAATACTATTTTGATCTAGGCTAATTATGCATTAAAAAAAAACCTTTAAACTTGAAAATTCGAAAAACACCATCTAATCAATCAAGTAGATAGCATCATAATCCCATGTCTCTGTGCCTTGCACACACTACTTCTTTTATCTAGAAGGTATTACCTCTCCTTTACCCACAAAATATTTCACAAAGCTGGTGTTCTAGGTACATAAGAGACACAGTGCGAGATGAAACTGCCCAGGAAGGGAACATAAAAG